CCCCCCTGTAATTGTATAAAACAATTGCCATCCTTGGTTGAACCTCCTCCCTATACAAGTATTGATACAGCATGAGGATGCGTTATCCTTATCCAAACCAACTTTGGTCATTTGCCGATTTAGAACCCAACCGATCAGAAAAGAACGATTCAAAAACCAATACAGCCGATTCAGAAACCAAGTCAAGAACCAAGCCAGGCGATTCAGCAACGACGATTCAGAAACCAAAACAGCCGATTCAGAAACCAAGTCAAGAACCAAGCCAGGCGATTCAGCAACTACGATTCAGAAACCAACAGGGGGTGGGAACCATGGCCAAGATAATAACGCTCGATGTGGTTGCAAACGGAAGGTCGCAGCACCGTCTCAACCGAGCTCCGCCCCGACCTGGGGAAAAGGCGTTACGAAGAGAGCGAGCTGTTGCTTTGAGAAGCGTTTTTGTATCGGTGATCGGGTCATCAGTTTTTTCTCTTTTGAACTGAATAATAATATTGGTATACAGTTTGGACAAACGAACTTTTGGTTACCGAATCAACGCTTTTGGATCTTTTGGTTACCGAACCAGCAGTTTTTGCATGCTTTTGGTTACCAATCAGCGGGTTTTGGTTACCGAATCAGCGGTTTTGGTTACCGAATCATAGTTACCGAATCATACCTTTTGGTTACCGAATCAGACGTCGACGACCAAATTACCAAATTCCTCCTGTGTTGCATTTTCCTTCCCCAACACGAGTCCTTCTCCAAGTTCTGTTCAACAGTTTTCTTGAGAAGTGTTTGTATTGCAAGCCACCCTCCTTCAAAAAGTTTGCTCCTTTGTGAATGCCTCTTCTTTTATGTCAGTGGTGTCCTTTGTAAGGGGCCCCCTATTTTTGTAACATGCCTTTACAGGAACTCGTCCTTGTTTGAAGCGTTCATCCTTTGTACTGTACTATAGTGTATTATGTCCACTTCCCAAGGTTCTTCCTTTTGGCAATCCCTTAATCTTAACAGGCTGGTAACGCATCGTAAGTATGTGGTGCCTAACCACTGCTTAGAGGGTTTCTCATTTGTTCAACCCTCATCCTTTGTCGCGTCCATTTTAATGAGGATCTTGGTCCATCCTTCATCCGTTTTTCAAATTTCTCTCCTATAAACTACTGTCACCCATGGTTGAACCCCGTCCTTCTTGCAACTTACTTTCTCCTTTCATCCAAAACCTCCCTCATCCTCCCTCTATTGTACAGGTCAAGCATCCTCTTATATGTTTCACGCGAATCGATCTCACAACTGACCTCGTTGAAAGATATTTGGTTCAGATTGTTTGTTTAAAGAAGCCTTCCTCTAATGAAGTAGTGTCACCGTTCATCAACATGTCGTCCTCTCCCCAGTCTTTTTCCTTGATGTTGAAAATTTGCGTTTAGCTTGGATTACGTTTCAGTGTTACAAAAGCTGCTCAGTCTTTAGTGTTTTCAGAGATGTTCACGAATCTCTTTTCCCCACTCTCAAACAGAACGAACCAACGGCGCTTGCTTGTGGATAGGTCTTTTGGAGTATCTCAACAGTGTCTCATCATTTTCACTGGCGTTCAACAGTTGTTTGTTTTTCGAGGTGCAGGCCCTGCTGTTGGCCCGGGATCCGGTGGCACTTGCAGCAACATTGGGATTCGGCTCTAGCGCCGCACTTCTGGGCATAGTCAGTGCTTGGGATGGCGTCCTTGGCGCGGAGCGGGCAGAGAATTTTTGTTATTTTTCGTGTTGGGCAAGTGGATGTGGATCTATGTTTGTGACAGCCTGTTGGACTTAGTCGTTGGCTGGCTTCTGTTGAATGCTGATTACAAATGACTTTGATCCAAGATTAGGTTTGGCCCACTTTGCAACTCTTCCGCTCTGCTAGGAGATGGACATGGGAGTAGCAAGGCAAGGGCAAAAGCAGACTACAATTGGAGACACAATGCGCAATTCAAGATCAATTGAATACATGCTGTTGACAAGTTCACTTGAGCTATATAGTGAGAAGCAGCATCTACAACTGGTTGCCTTGTGTTTGCGGCAGACAAGCAGACATGTTCTGACATTGTCCCTTAACCACAATAAAACCTGCGGCCAGACCTGTGACCCTTGACATGACAGTCCTTTTGCCAATGACCTTGCCAAGCACGACGCTACTTGGTGGCACCAGTTGAAGATCGTGTCACAGGAAATTTTCCAAAACAAAGGGGATGTTGTCATGTTGGAAGGGATTGCAGACTGTTAGAGAGCCAATCATTCTTTGCAAGCGCCACTGAAAGGACAGGAGCTGATGCTTGCTTCCGAAAGAAGGCAGTGTTTTTTGTGTTATGCCCAATCACCGCCGTACGCTTTTGTTGTTTTTTGCCATTGCTCCCAATTTCGTGCGGTATTTGCAATGGTTTCTGATTTGCGCAGGGCCACTAGGGGGAAATTGAAATGATATGCATTTCCACGCTAGCGGGTTGACAACCGTGCTAGTAGTAGTCGTGCACTCTTTATCAAACCACGAAGAGTTTGTCCGATGTCGTTGTAATAAGCGTGCAAGTTGGCACCTTGACATGTTCACTTTTAAGAAAAAACATATCATGTTGTTATGTTGAATCAGGGTGTTCAGAGTTCCTTTTTGTGTGCTAGGACCGGAATTCCCTTGGGCTAGTCAGCTAGCTAAGGCAAAACTGAAAGGGCAACCAACGTCCCTGCCAGGCTTCACAAGGTGGCTGCGCTGGTCCCCACTCCCTCCGCGCCTTATATGTAGCAGCCTGGCAAGAGCGCGGTTCCTAAAGCTTTGCTGCAAATAAAGCAAGTTACACTTATGTAACTTATGACGTTCCACTCGTGATCACAATCAGTTATGATCGTTCACGCACTTGTTTGCAATGCACCCATCCCAGCGCTTGAAGGCCTGGCTTCCAGAGGACATTGGAATTGCCCGACTTGACTCGTAGGGGCTTCTGGCCACCTGACTCGATGCTTGACAACTTGAAGAGATTGGACATTCGTTATGCATCAACCAGCTCCAAACAAACAAGTTCTATATAAGTAGAGCATGTGCTCCCTGCTAGTGCATGGCAGATCAAGACCAAGAACAGTTTTGTTGGGGTCTTGCTTTGCAATCCAACTAAAGCACCTCGAGCAAACGCCCAAGGATCGATGGGGCAGTCTACGTGCCGCACAATGATGTTTTCAATTCATTCCTCACCCGCTGGGTCCAAATGCTGCTTGAGTATCACTTATGTGTCCGTTGCTGCAAGTCTGCAATTTCTCATACTTGCCAAAAGCCAGAAACATAAAGAGCACGAGCTTTGCTGTCTTTCCCGGCTCAAGGTTTCCTGGCTCACCTACGTTGGATGAAATTGTCAACTACCTCAGGCAGGCTTTCCTGCTGCGCCAGGGTCGAGTCCTGGTCCTTCTATGTTGATACTGATTATATACTATCATACATTGTGTTATATTGTGTTAATGCGGCTGGATGGCCAACACGCCTTGTCAACATTTGTGAACTAGCTTTAGCGACTCTGTCCACACCCCAGGCAATTTCAAGAATTCTTGCCGGACGAATACGTCGGAAGTTCCGTCCTGAAATGCTTACAATACAAGAGAGGATGTGGACCTGGACAGAAAAGCCAGAGCTGAGGTGGTGGCAAGTACAGTTCCCTGGTGGAGCTGAACAACACATTGAGCTGAAAGAAGAATGGCTTGAACATTGATTTGAGACAAGATTATATGATATGTGCCATTCTTGCGTTTTATCCTCGTAATCTCTCTTTTCCCCCAACCTATTCGTCGATCAACCTGTCGTTTGTTCAAGCTTCCCAGCTTGTCTTCCCAGCCGGCCCTTCAGATAAAATGCTTGTTTTGATTTTTGATATGTTTTGATAATAAGTCAAACTTAAGGGCCCCTGACGTGAAACGACCCAGCACCATGAGCATGGAAGCTTAGTGTAACTAGGTTGGCAGGCATGCTGAGGTCCCGCTGTTTTCCGAGAGCGCTCTTTTCTCGAAGGGCAAAAGCTGCAGCTTGTCCGCCGCGCCGTCGGTCGGTCGGATTCTGATGGTAAGCGGAGCCAGGGTTATTGTAATTCTCGGGCTTTGCTGGCGCCGCACGCCGCTGCTGCGCTGCTGCGCGCTCCACCTGCGCCGCTGTGGTCCACGGGGGCCCACGGCACCACTCCGCCTGCTGCTTGGCTAGCTGCTGCCGCCGCTGCTCCAAGCTATGTCATACACCCCGAGCGGTGTACATGCCTGAGGCGGGAGCCGGAGGCCTTGGGGGTGTTGTGCATCCGAGAGTGCTAGGATCCCTATGCTTCACCAGGGGCAGAGGCGAATCCCTTCTGGAGTGCGCCAGGGAGACCGATGGCTGGAGAAGGAGGGGCTCATCAAATGCCAGAACATAGCCCAGCGGTCAACGAGGTGGAAAAGATTCGCCTGAAGATCCTCAAGGAAGCGGGGTCCAACTTTGCCAAAGAGATCAGGCGGCTGACGTCGGCGGCTAGTGCGGCAGCAGCTGAGCAGGCGAAGAAGGAGGCGGGAGCGAGCTGGGGTGAGTCTGGAGGAGGCCTTGGTCCGCCGAGTGGAGGTGGAAGGGTAGATCGTTGCAGATTTCCACTCCGGTCCATTTGAGGGCTGGCCTGTCAGGTGCCGCCTATGAGTCTGTCAGCAAGCTCGAGCTCAGCAAGCTGAAGACGAAGACCTCTGAAGGAAAGCCGACAGATGTTGGCATGAAGCTGTTGCTCTAGACTCTCCGAGAGTCCATTGCCGCCAAGCTCCCTGTCAAGACAAGTGAACTGTTCTTCCAGGCATTTTAATTACTCACCGAGTGTCTGGAAGCGGAACAATGAGACCATGCACCAGTACATTGTCCGCCGTGAGCAGGACTTCAAGCGCATGGAAGAGAACTCCACGGAACACAGGTCACAGGTCTCCGAGCAGATTCGGGCCATGATGCTGTTGTGTTTGGGAGGATTGGACCCGAAGGAGCAAACCTCCGTGTTGAGTTCCTGCATCAACACCTAAGAGTTCCAGAAGATCGCCCACGCTATGAGGATTCAGTTTCCAAACTCGGCTGGCAAGCCGATTGTGAGAAGGTACTACTACCTTGGTGCTCGCGGTGGAAGCTCCTTTCCGAACCACTACATAGCCCGCTCGCCTCAAGGGTCAGACCAGGCAAGTTCTGGCTGTTGAGGAGGACGCCCAGAGCTATGAGATCCCGGACGATGAGGTCTACTTCGAGGATGATGATGCCTATACCAGAATGAAGAAGATTCCGAAGAGGCCTATCAGCAGGGGTATTCCGACGATGAACTCATGGATGCCCCCTGCTGGCAGAGTTCCTTGACATGTCCGAGGGCCCACAAGTCGCCGAAGCCTTTGCGACAGTGGCTCAGCACAGGTTCAAGAAGAAGAAATTCATGGGTCGTCCTACATCGTCGCCGAGCTCTACTACCACTGCTGGCTCCCCAGTTGAGTTCACTGCGAAAGGAGAAATGAGAAATGAGCTTCTCTGAGAATCTCGTGATCAGCGCAGGACAGCTGTTAAGTTCCTCAAGGCAGTCACACCTTGCACCGTTTGCCACCAGAAAGGCCACTGGGCTGGCGACGCCAAGTGCCCTGACCGGAAGGGAAAGGGCAAGGGTAAGACCTCCGCCAAGAAGAAGTGCCAGAAGGTCGCCACCACTTTGTTCGTCTCCCGTGGCACTGGTGACATCACGAGACCGACGACAACCTGACAGAAGACTATGTCCTGTTTGCTGAGCGCTATCTCGCTCAGAACGTTGAGGCTCCTGAGGCTGTGGCAGTTCCTCAGAGTGTGTTCGATCCTGCCGGCGTCACACACCATGCCATGGACAAGGAGAAGGCCCCTGTCGGCAATGACGTGATGTTTGGCAGTGCTCCTGACGCTCCGACCAAGCGTCGAACCATAGTCGCATTCAGCCACGTCTGTGACGCTACGTTGTCCAAACCTATGTGAGCGTGTTTCATACAACTCTGAGAGGAAGTTCCACAAGGGTGCGAACGGTCACACCAGGTTCATCATGCAAGGAGAAGGACTGTGACAAGACCATCATTATTGGACATCGCCCTGAGGCTGTTGAGATGTGGTCCTACTTCAGATTCATTCAGGTTTTTATGAGCGCCAAATGGGAGCAAGATGCGAGGTCAGCCAGACTCTTCCGTCGAGTTTGTCAAGTACGAGTTCAACGCGATCAGGAACAACGTGGACTATATACTATATACAAGATCCTTCCGGGCTCTCCCCGGCAGAACTTCGTGTTTTGAAGGCCGCGCTGGCATCGCCGCTGCCGTTGACGACAAGCTCACCGCATCAAAGAACCACGGCTCGAAAGACCGCAGGACCATTCCCTGGCAGGATGGTCGGTGCGCGAGATGCTGGGAATGGCTACCCATCGCCATCGTCGCCGGCAAGATCAGCCAAGCCGACCATGGCCAAGATCGTTCAAGCTACCCCGCAAAGGGTATGGATGGGGTGATGATCTCAGCCATGGGAGGCTCAGGTTGGGCAGAACGAATGGTGAAACTGTCCAAAAGAAGAGGGTGAGGCCAAGGGCCAAGGGAAAGAGGAGCAATACTCCTGATGACATGAGTGCTATCCGCAAGCTTGTGGCCCCACTCCAGTACGAAGACCCCAAGCTTCGCACTCACTGGCTGAAGACCTACCTGGTCTAGCCATCCTTGACTCAGGATCCTTCAAAAGCACCAGGTGTTCCTCCGCTGCCACTTCGCCAACATGATGCTGGATGTGAACACAAGAAAACCACGAAAGGGGGCACCAACAAGTAGTACACGATGACTTTATGCGTGGACTGCGGCGCAGTCTGGGAGAAGACGCGAAAGCCAGAGCCCAAAGCACTACTGCTGAACAAGAGCTTTGTCCACACCATCGTATTTCATGGAAGGGAACAAATGGCTACCAGACCAAGCAAACATGTCTGGATTGCGGCTTCATCAGGAATGGCCGCTCAAAGTCAGCAGCAGCTCCTTCACGGCAAGCGAAGGAAACCTTCCTTTGAGTTTCACCTCAATTGGCCCATGCAGTTTTCCGCGTGAGCAGTATGATGGCCCTCATCAAGCACAACGAGGCTGGTGAGAACCTTACAAGTGAAGATTTGTCTCGAATGCTGCGAGGTGCCACGCTCTCCATCGTGAACTGGCCGCCAGGGGATAGTTTCGCACAGGCAGCTTTTTCTCCGGGTCTTTGACCCTCCTGCACAGGTACACCACCTGCTTCTACTGCCACTTCGCGTGTACCAACACCAGACCGAAGCACTGCCAGAGACAGTCGCCAGAACTTCGGTCCGTATAAAGGCCGTCAACTGGGTTTGGAGAGTTGAACGAAGACTCAATCCCATCTTCACGCATTTGGGCCGTTACTTTGTAAACCAGCGTACGGCAGAGAGGAGCAACACCACTTTCCCGGCAACCAAGACGATTGAGGTCTCAGACATTGAAGAGGGCTTCCCCACTTCAGAGCCAACAGCCTCAGAGACTGACCTCATCGCCATCTTGGACTCAGGCTGCAACAAAACATGCCACGGTGAACTTTGGCTTCGAAAGTATGCAGCAGCAGGCACTCCATCGGTGAGTTTCCCATGAAGAACGTGATCTCTGGTACCCAACGTTGAAATGGATGTGCAAGGTGATCAAAAAGTCGACTTTAGAAAGGTCGCAAAGTTTTGGTTGAGAATCGTTGGTTCTCTGCGCTGTGGTCCATCGTATGCTTTGACAAGCTCATTCAGGAGTCGCCCGTGGACGCAGAAA